ACACCTTCGTGCAAAGAAATAGAAACACAGGAAGCGCCCCATCCCTCTCCTCTCCTGATCTGTGTCTGAGGACAAAGTCCAGAGTCAGACGTTCCTCTTTAAGAAGCTCTGGGTCCGTGGAGGATCTGGTTTCAGTCAGAGAGCCTACAATCAGCCACACAGGACACAGGCCAGCAAAAGTATGGGCCTGTCTCCAGTAATTGCCTGAGAAACGCGGTTTCAGCCACTAAATCTCTCGTTTTAATCACTGTGCAAAGCCCCTGCCACCCCCAGCCGTGAGCAATCATGGTTAGGTCTGATGGCAGCAGCAAATCTGTCAGTGACCCTGCAATAGCCCCCTCTCCCTCTATCAGCTACCACTTAGAAACCCCCAGGGTTCCATTGTCTCCCATTAAAATTTCAGCATTTCCTGATGAGGGAGCTGAAGTAAGAGACCCCAGGTGTGGCGGCTGCCTGTGTCCTGCTGACCAGGGCCACATGACCTGCCTTGTGCTCAGGCCATCACCAGCTGTCTGGCTTGACTAGGCCTTTCCCTCCCAGCAGTTCCAGCACCATTAACTCTGAGCCAGACGTTGGAGGGTAATTGATTCCTTGGCTAACTTGACTTTGGAGGCAGTGACTGTGGTGAGGTAACACTTAGCAAGAGTTTCTCTCCGGTGCTGCCAATAGCTGTTGTTTCTCAGCCTGGGAAAGAGCCCGGTGCTTCTACAGCGGGAGGCACAGGCCTGCTCCGAAGGGCTGCAAGAGAAGCCCGTTCAGTAGAACCACCTGCATGTTGAAAACCACCCCACCAAGTTGAAGGATTGGTTTTGGATGCATGCTAGATGGAGGAATACTACAAAACGCATGGCTTTTCATTGTGGGAAGGAAATCTGCTTCTGGTGTGGGGGTTTTGGGTCCCTTTGTAAAACGTGGAGTTCAAAGGGAGAGAAAAGAGTCCTCAGGGTACAACGGTTACGTGCTCTCCTGGTAACTCAAAGGTGAGCAGTTTAAGCCTACCAGCCTCTCTACAGAGAAAGGATGTAGCAATCTGTTCTTTAAAAGGCTACCCAAAACCCCAGTGTTGTTTAGTCCATTCCGACTTATAGCGACCCAGTCGGGCAGAGCAGAATTGCCTCACAGGGTCTCCAACGCTGGCAGTCTAAGAGAGCAGCCTGCCTCGATCTCCCACTGAGAGGCTGGTGGGTTTGAACCATCCACTTTCCTGGTAGCAGCCAGGCACATTAGCCACTGAACCGTTGTAGGGATTACAGCTGAGGAAGCCCTGTGGGGCGGCGCTGCTCTCCTCTCTGAATCCAGTTGATGTGAAGGCACGCAACGATACCAGAAAGCAGACGACAGAGGTAGCCAAAGTTTGCTTTTTAAAAATAGGGTGATTCACATGATGGAATACTATGCAGCATTGAAAAACAAGGAACTCATGAAATATTACAGAAAATGGATGACCCTAGAGGACATTATGCTGAGTGAACTATCTCAGTTACAAAAGGACAAATATTGTATAGGGCCACTGTTGTAAAGCAGGACTGACATCAGGGTTGAGGGGAAGATAGAAAAGGAGGGGAGGAATGATGTATATTCCATTGAAACATATGATTAGGTATTATCATCCTTACAGAAGTCCAGAGAGAAGGCTGCATAGTGGAGTGGACTTGGGGAGAGGCACTGCACAACAATGAAAGAGTTTCTTTTTCTTTTCAAGGTGAAGAGTGATTGGGGAGAGGCGTGGGCAGGGACAAAAGTGCAACAATAAATGACTGGAAACCCTAAGTCTCTGTAAACTTTCATTAAAATTAATTTTTTTTTAAAAAAGACAAATATGGCATAATGCCACTGACATAAAAGAGGACTGACATGATTAGATATTATTGTTAGGACAGGAATCCAGAAGGAAGGTGGCATAGTGGACTTGGGGGGAGGGATTGAATAACAATGAAAGAATTTTTCTTTTACTTTTCAAAGAGAAGAGCTAATTGCGAGGGAGAGGGGTGGGCAGGGAGAAAAGTGCAACAATGAATGAATGGAAATTCAAAGTCTCTGTAAACTTTCATGAAAATTAATTTTGTTGTTGTTGTTATTATGTGCCCGTCGAGTCGTTTGCGACTCATAGCGACCCTATGTACAACAGCCCTAAACCCTGCTCTATCCTGCGCCAACCGCATTGCCTCTGACACACCCATCCCGATTACCCCAGTCACTGACTCAATCCACCTCATAGAGGGTCTTCCCCTCCTGCGCTGTCCCTCCACTCTGCCCAGCATGATGTCCCTCTCTAAAGACCTGTCTCTCCTTACAACATGTCCAAAGTATGTCAGGCGAAGCCCCAGAATCCTTGCCTCCAAGGAGTAGCCTGGTTTAACCCTCTCTAGGATGAATCTATTTGTTTTCTTGGCAGTCCACGGTACATTCAGTACTCTTCTCCAGCACCACAGCTCAAAGACGTCAAATTAAAAAAAAAATGTGATTCTGGCCCTGGCTCGAGGAGCTCTCTCTCTCTCTCTCTCCCCCTTGTTGCTTTTCGGTCTCTGCGAGGGTGACAGCCTTTGACAACAGCTGCTGTAGTATCAACAGCCACAAGATGGGTGATGATGGCAGCAGCCGGAATGAGGGACAGTCCAAGAGACGCCCGGAGTCTGTCACCTGAGCATCCAGCAGGGCCTGGACTCACCGGTGCCCATCACCCAGCACCTCGGCACCCACTGCTCGCTGCCATCCTGCCAGAAACGAAGCGGGTGGTGCAGCACTTCGGGGTCTGGAGCATCACCGCTGGCTCCCTCGTCTGCAAACAATCCACCACCCTCTGCTGCTGTCACGCTAAACACTGTCGTGAGAGCAAATGCCCTGTGTCCTTCTGCCTTAAGATCAAGCACCAGCTCCGCCAGCGGCAGGTCCAGCACCGTCTTCAGCAGGCCCAGCTCATGCACTGGAGAACGGCCTCCACAGAGCCTGCCTTCTCCTGTCTCAGCACCTCCTGGCACCCCAACACAGCAGCCCAGCACCCCTAGAAGCCACAAGAACCCCCTGCCCAGCCCTGGCCTTCCCCCAAGAGCATTAACAAATTTCCCTAGTAAGATCCAGACTCAGGCCCCGGCAAAGTTGAGTCTAGAGGCAGATAGGCCCGAAAAATTGGCTAAGTAAATAGTTCTCCGAAGCCTGCAGAAGAAATATCTAACACTTGGGTTTTAGCCCCTTAAAACATACCTCAGACTTCAGAATCCAAATGTGTAAGACAATAAATGAGAGTTGTCTTAAGAAGAAAATAGATTCTTCCAAAGCTGCCAGTACAAACTGTCTAACACTTGGTTGCAAATTCTCTCTGTAGATAATGCTGTCAGTGAGTGTCACAGTGACCTGTAAACGACACATCTGAGCCTTGTCGCGGCCTGCACCATCCTCACCGGATCTGATTTCCTCTGATATTTCTACAGCTCGAGCACTGGAATTCTACCAAATCTCTGTAACACTTGGATGGCAGTTAGAGAGCGGCTTAGTGGAACTGTGTTGCCAACACAGAAGGGCGCGGTTCGAATCCATCCGCTGCTCTGTGGGAGAAAGAGGGGCAGTCTCTTCCCCTGCAGCCTCTGAAAACCCACCAGAGGGGCCGGTATGTGTTGGCTCTGACTTGAGGGTACACAACACAAAGCTCTATATCAGCCCAACAGAAAACCCACAGGCATTTCCCCGCCTGGGTCGGAAATGGAGTTGTGTATGTCAGCACGACTGTCAAACCTACCGAGGATGTAGCGTCTCCCACTTCATGCTTCTCTGAGCAGCAGGAAATGTTAGCATTGTCGCAAAGCTGCTTGCTTGTGTCTTGCTAAGCAAGCAACTTCCACCTGCGTGATTTTTCAGGGCTCATTTTTCCCAACTTGCAAAAAGAAGGAGCCACACCTACTGGATTCCTCCCTCTACCTAGATCTCCTCACATATTCGTAGTGTTGAGTGGAATCCTCCTTCATCACTTAATCTTAAATCTCTGATACTTGCGTAGGTTTTTGCTTGTGTTGTTCGGTCTGTTGAGCTTTGAGACACAACATCAGAACACCATTAACTGCTACTCCCTGTGAGATGACCGTGACTGGACCAGGTGTTCTTTGAAGTTTGGATGACCTTGTTGATGTTCTACAGAAAATTGGAAGAGCCAAAACTCTGTGCCACCCCCTTGTCCACTAACCTCAAGATCTAATCCTATAGCCCCTTCCCCAATAAGCAGAAACAGAAAATATTTAGGTCAGCATAAATCTGAGACATAACTCAAAGTTCCTACTTGGAATCAGATAGCAAATACTCTCTACAAGGTTTTATTTGAAATTTCATCCCTGCTTGGAAGCAGGAGTGAAGAAAGGATGAAAGATACACAAGTGTTGAGGACTTTCGTTCATAAGGTCGCTATGAGTCGCCTACGATTCAACAGCACTTAATAACAACATAGATCAGTTGGCCTAGTGGACAGAGAGTGATGCTACCAAGCCAAAGGTAAGTGACTCTAATCCGTGGCCCTCAGACCTGTTTTTCATTGGTTTTGGTCAAACATTCTTCTAGGTCATATAGCCCTAGTGTGTCCACTTGCTGTACAGAGGCAACTCGTGGTTATAGTGGTGCTAAACACTGTGACATTGATGTGTCAAATGTGAGAATGGTTACCCATGGTGGACAGTGTTTGGTGGGGCTCCCCAATGAAAACAAGCTTGGAAGCAGGAGTGGCATCCACTTCCATAATAGCTTGCCTTGGGAAACCCTATGAACCTGGAGAAAGGATGAAAGTCACACAAGTGTTGAGGACTTTTGTTCATAGGGTCGTTCTTAGTCACCTACGACTCAACAGCACTTAACAACACAACAACAAGAAGAACACAACAACCGGGCTTCCTCCTATTTCTGTTCTTTCTTGCTGCACAACAAATTATATTCAAATTCCGTTATCTGTTGCTGCATAATAAACCATCTAAACAACGGCTGCATTACAACACCACTATTTTCATGACTCACGAGTCTCCTAGTCAGGCAGGCAGATATGGTGTGGTGAGACGGCTTGTCTCTGCTCCATGGCGCTGAGGAGCCTCGGCTGGGAGGGGTCGAAGGTCCAGTGCTGGCTGAAGGGCCAGGCGAGAGCTGCACACTGGGGGCCTCCTTTTTCACTTTCAACAAGGCTGCTCAGTTCTCTTCACATCTCTAGCTTCAACTTCTTCACAACTAGGCTGTCTCCTGGTGGTTGCACTTCTCACACGGCAGCTGGCTACGCTGAGGCAAAAGCAGAAGCTGCTAGGGCTTCTTCAAAGCTAAGCCTGAGGTTCCCTGGGTCTTTGTGTTACATGCTATTGATAAAGGCCGGCTATGAGGCAGTCCTGATGAGACGGGGAGCAGATGCCACCTTGACAAGGAGTCCTGACGGCATATTGTGGAGCGTCACTGCTAAGAACAGGTCAGCAGTTCAATTCACTGTTCCTCAGAAGAAAGCTGGAGAGTGTCTTTCCTTGAGGATGTCCAGCATCACTATGTGTTTTTGATGAGTGAAGTCGTGAAGTCTTTGAAGAATGGCTGCCTTGCTCAACTCCTCTGTCCTGCTAATTAGCTCCTAGGTTTCTCCTGAGAGCACTTTCTAATTAACATCATTTGCACCCAAATGTTCATCTCAGAGTCTGTTTCTGAGGAATGTGACCCTTAGACAGGGCGTGTTCCAGTCCACACCTGTCAGCTACTTCTTCTGCAAGGTGTGTGTTACTGCAGAGGCCACATCCAAGTCTTTGTCCCAAAACCTTTGAAAAATTCTTGCCCTAAGTCAGAGAATCTCGACGTGGGATTCACATTGCACATACATTTAAAAAAAAAAAAATCACCCAAAGTCCAGGCGCTGTCTCAGAGATTTAATTGGGCCATATTAAGACATTGAGTATTATTAAAAGGTTCCACTGGTCATTCTAATGTGCAGCCATAGCTAAGAGCCAATTCTAAGTCACTGAAGTCGTGCGAAGTACGTATGCATGAGGAAAGCAGAATAAAATGCCACAAGATGTCCTGAGAAGAAGAAATACAGCCAATCTTTGTCCAAACCACCTTTTGCCCTGGGGACAAAATGTTATCAGAGTCTTCAAGTAACTTGGGTTGGAAATCTGGTTTTCACGTCCAGTTTCTTTTCAAATCTAGGTGTGGGTGGCTTCGTGTACACATCCTGACAGAGTTAGAGTCGCATACACTTTCCTGGGTTAGAAAAACAAATCTCAGGCACCGTGAACCCTTTGCCTCTGGCGTCCAGCTTATCAAATGCACTTTTGAAATCCCACTGGTGTTTTATAGCTCGAGTAATACCCGGCTTTGTCTTCAACAGAGACAAGAAATAATCTTGATTGTTATAGACATCTGAGTTGGGAAACCCATGTGTTCTAATGCCATTTATAAACTGCTAATCTGCCTACGAAATTCCCACAGCCTAGAAGGGTATTTCAGAGCCTAAACACCCAGCCAACACATTTCCAGTCTATTTCACAATAGATAGGCCTGTACTCTGCCTTTTCCTTCTTGCTAATCTTGTAAACCTTTAAATGATACAAGAGAAGACGGTGTTCTAACTTCCTGTTACTATATTTTCTTGGGAAGCTTTATCCTTAGGCCTCAAACGAAATTTGTTTCCTCTAATCACTGGCTTTGGTTCTAGAAAACTTTGCTATTTAATTAGCAAGATAGAGATCAATGTTATACAAATACATGCCAATGCAGGGCCCAGCTTTCTTTCCCATGCTCGGATGCCAAGTGTTGAAGAGAGAACCTTACAAAGCAGTTGGAGGAAATTTTGATCTCATCCCAGAAATATGATCTTCCTCATTCATGTTGTTGTTGTTATGTGACTCATAGTGACCCTAAGCACAACAGCTCTGAACCCTGCTCTATCCTGAGTCAGTTTTACTGTTTTTCCCAGTTACTGTGTCAATTCATCTCATCCAGGGGCTTCCTCTCTTGTACTGTCCTCCACTCTTCCAAGTATGATGTCGTTCTCCAAGGACTGGTCCCTTCTGGAAACATGTCCAAAGTATATCAGTTAGAGCTTAAAAAAAAATCTTTGCCTCCAAGGAGCAACTTGTCTTCACCCTCTCCAAGGCAGACCTTTTTGTCCTCTTGGTAGTTTATGGTGTGTTCAATACTCTTCTCCAGCATCACAGCTGAAAGGAATCAATTCTTCTTCTGTAATCCTTAGTCACTATCCAGCTCTCTGATGCATAGCAAGTAATTTCAAAGGCTATGGCCTGGATCAGGTGCACCTTAGTCTCTAGAATAATATTTTTGCTCTTTAGCACTCTGGAGAGGTTCTTGATATCAGATTTTCTCAATGTAATTAGTCTTTTTATTTTCTGATTGGTGGTGCCAAGGATGTTGATTGTGGAACCAAGTAAGCTGAAATTGTTAACATTTTCAATCTTGTCATGGTGCTGGCCAATGGGCCCACTGGTAAAAACCACATTTCAACATCATGCTGACTTTTAACCTGAAATGTAGCTTATCATTGAAGGTATGTCGTCATTTAATTGATAGTGTTTTCTCTTTCATAATAGCGCCTGAAGTAGTGGTCCGCCGTAACACCCCGTACTGGCTTGGTTCTGATGAACCCAGCCAAGGAAAGAAGAGATGTCAGATTAAAATGCAGGTATGCAAAGGGCAGAGGGGGAAAAAATTGGACTTTCTGTCTAACACAGGCCTTGTTTTGTTGGCCCCAGAACAGAAAGATCTACCCACATCTTAGAGTACCATTTGGAGATTAGAAACACTCCCTCTTGCCTGCTGCAATTTCAGACATATTGAGGAGGAGACCCGAAAGAGAGGCTGTATTCAAAGTGTAGCCTCATGACAATAAATATTGCAATTAGGCTGCTGGCATTTGGCTGCAGTTCTAGGACACTTCTTTCATCTCACATACACACAACTGCCTTTGGGTTTTTAATGCTAATAAAAGCTCCAAGACAGGAGTGCAGTGATTCTCAAACTTGATGGAGAATAATCTTCAGCGCTTGCTAAATGTCTTAATCCCAAGGCCTCACCTCAGACTTTTGGATTCAGACACTTGGGCTGGTGGCTGGGGCTGGGGGAGTAGGTGGGGATGACCCGTGTGATTACTAAGCTCTGGGATGATTCGTGCAGAACATCGAATGAAGTGATGGTTCTAGAAGTCCAGTGAACCATGGCAGACACATTGGCACCCTGGGGGTGAAATTGCCGGAATCCCACCTCCATTCACCCACCAACACCAAGTGCTCCGAGTCTCCTAGCTCTAGATTCCCAGCTGGAAAATGAGCAGCTGATAGTTCAGCAGATACTGAGACGTCATGATCAAACATCTGTTTTTGTAGTGATCTTTTATTGGGGGGCAGGGGGGGTTTCCTCACCCATGAACTCTCTGTGACCCAGAATCTGGGGCAGTATGGACCATCTCCAGTGACTGAGTCAGTAGAAGTCGTGCTGTCCACCCAAAGGCAGGAGAGTCCAAATCCACCAGCTGCCCCACGACAGAAAGATGAGCAATTGCCTCTGTTGCACTTGACATCCTCTGAGAACTGTTAGTCATTATTGGTGTTGGGCACCGTTGAGTCAGAATCGACTCATGGCTGACACGCTAGTGGGTTTTAAACAACATGCCTCCTGAAACCCTATGAACTTTGACAAATATCAATTGTTACAGAAAGGCTTCACTCCAAAGAAACCATAACCAACATCCAAGCAGATATATGCACACCCATGTTTATCGTGGCTTTGTTCATAGTAGCAAAGAGTTGGAAACAACCTAAGTGCCCATCAACAAACGAATGGATAGAGACGTTCTGTTATATTAACACAATGGAATACTATGCTGCATTGAAAAACAAGGAACTCATGCAATGTTATTCAAAATGGGTGATGCTGGAGGACTTACTGAAGTATCTCAGTCACAAAAGGACAAATACTGCATAGTGCCACTGTTGTAAAACAGAACTGACATTGGGGTTGGGTGGAGACTGATAAAGATGGGATAAATAATGTATACTGCATTGAAACAGATGAGGGAGAGAACTGTTTAAAAGGGAAATATGATTAGGTATTATTGTCATGACAGGAGTACAGAATGAGGGCTGCATAGTGGAATGGAGCTGGGAGGAGGGATTGTATAACAATGAAAGAATTTTTCTTTTACTTTTCAAAGAGAAGAGCCAACTGGGTTGGGGGGAAGGGTGGGAAAGGGAGAAAAGTACAACAGTGAATGACTGGAAATCCAAAGTCTCTGTAAGCTTTCATTAAGATTAATAATAAAAAGAAAGGTTTCAGGCCTTTTGTTCATAGGGTCGCTATGAGTCGTGCTTGACTCGAAGGCAACCAACAATAACAAGTGGGTTTTCAGAGGCAGTAAATCAGACAAGGGTAGATTGTCCATCTTTCTCCTCAGAAGCAGCTGAGGATTCCGATTGCATGTCTTCGAGTGAGCAGTGCAGCTCCTTGCCAATAAAGCACCAGGACTCCAAAACTGCAATGAAATATCACCTCCCCTCATGAAAAAGTGGGTGATGTTTTAAAAATAGAAAATAAGGGTGTTGATGAGGTTGTGGAGAACTGGGACCCTTATCCTTTGCTGGTAGGAATGTGAAATGGTGCAGCCCTGATGGAAACTATTTTGGCAGTTCTTTTTAAAAGTTTAATATGCAGTTACCACATGGTCCAGAAATTCTAAGTACATGCCCCGAACAAGGGCCAACAATAATGCAATCGGAATCCTGCACACCACTTCTGGAAACCTTGGCAGCACTTTTGACAATGATCAAAAAAGTAGAAATAACTGAAATGTCCACAAAAAAGAGAAATGGATAAACAATATTTAGTTTATACTGTACATGAAATAGAACATTGTTTAGTCATAGAGAGAATTGAAGTTCTGATTCATGCCACAACATGGATGTCTCTTGGAAATATTATGAGTCACACAAGGACAAATACTGCACGATGTCATTTATGTAAAATGAGAAAATAGCTAAAAGGAAGGATTACTGATGAGCTCTTGTTATTGTGTGCCATTCAGTAGGAACAAACTCACAGTGGACTCTCCAGCAGATTTTCAGAAGCAGTAACCGCATGGGAGATG